GGTTTAAGCATGGTTTATGTAGGTATAAATGTTGTTACAAAGTGAATGAGGATCTGTCTTTTTAACACATCTTAATTTGCAAAACATCCAGTTCCTCCAGGCGATAGCTCTTCCAGTGATTGCTTATGCAGTGGTGACCCATTCCGGGTTTTGTTCAATCTCATCAAAAGAATGAGGTTGTCCCTCATAGAATTTCAGATGACCGAAACTGCAAATCAAGTTGCACACAATTCAAACCATATTGTTATGCAGGTATACAGTTCAGTTTCTGACCTAATTTGTGAATGTGGTTCATCTGCTCATAACTGTTAGCATACGTGCTGTTTATTGTGAAAAATATATGTGTTATCATTTCCTATTACATTGTGTAAAATGGCCTGTGAGGTGTTTCACTCTGTTTCTATGTGTTTAAGAAATAAATATGTTTTACAAATGCGAATTAATTATCTATAAAGAACTTAAATTGTTTTTTGCCAGATAATATTTCTGGAACTTTCATAGTTTAGGATTTTTGAACTTTAAGGATTTTGATCTGCCAGGATTTCAACATTTGGTAATATTGTGTTTAGGATTGTGTCTTTCAGAATTATGGCCCAAACATTTTCATAATAAAATACAATATAAACATAACATAACATAATGCTATTTTAAATCTATGACATTATATTTCTTTACCCATAATAATATTTTATACTGACATTTTTTGCCTGTTTTAAAGATCTGATTTTCTACTTCCTTTTGTGTCTTACCGTCTTCAATGAATACTGAATTGTAAATATAACTTTTTTGAGTATCTGAACTTTATTTCTTCTATGTTTAAATTTTATTTCACTGAATAGCACTTTTTTAACATTTATTTTTTAGGTGTAGATGGACACAATACAATGCCTTTATTTTTATGTAGTGATGAGGATCGAACCCAGGTCCTGCCCCTGTTAAGCAAGCACTCTACTGCTGAGCCACAATCCCAGCCCTGAATAGCACTTTTTCAATGTGGTTATTTTGAACCTTGTTTTAAAACTATGTAGGACTGATCTAAATGAGTTTTTGTTAATCCATTATAGTTATACATAATAGTGGGCTTCATTTTGATATAATCATACATGTATTGAATATAATTTACTCCATTTGCATTCCTAGTACTTGCTCTTTCCCTCACTTTTCCCTGTCCCTGCTCCCTAAATTAATTTGAGCTCTATTTGTAAGTCTGTCCCTTCTGAGTTCTTTACTAAACACCTGAGTTGTTAAGTCTTTTGATTTTGACTGATTGGAAATTGAATGTTCATATAAGTGCTAATGATTTTTCACCTTGCAGTTCCTTCCTACTGGTTCTTAACTGTTGTTGTTGCAGATCACTTTATACAAATGCAATTTTCCATTCATATAAAGGAATAAGGGGACCCACTAAAAATCTGAAGCTCTTTTTCTACATTGATCCCAACACTCTGGTACATTGTCACACAAATTCTTCCTGACAAACTTCTTCTAATGTCAAACCCTTCTCAATATTTATCAAAACTTATGTATTCTTTCTGGCTTTTTCTTTTGCATTATAACTCATAAATTGCCTCTAGATAGAAAACCAGAGATCGAAAAGTTCTTTAACTTTTTTGCTCCTCTCTCTGGGACCATGATCTGACAGTTGTTGTCATGTCTGAAACATTTGCTTAGTATATTTGATCTGGTTGTGTACTTGTTCATGGCAAGAAGGAAGGTCTGTTGCCTAATGTTCCATAACGGCCCAAGAAGTTATTTGCTCAACTGATTTTTGTAAAAGGCTCTTAGATATGTCAGTACACAAAGAAAAGTCCCTTCACCAGCTGGTGTTCAAGTACCTGGAAACCTGTGTTTAAAGGAGCAGGTTAACTTAATGAAAATTACACATAAGTGCACAATCAAAAACTAACAGTTCTAGGGAAATGTTTAAGTAAAATTCTTTTGGACTTTAAGGTGAGCAGATTTTTTAGATACAAAATGAAAACAAGACTCTTCAACTAAAACTAAGACTGATTCCTTTGAACCTTCTTATTAGACTGGGCCTTGTCTTTGGTCTGCCTAGTCCAGTTGTAGTAGGAATTCTGCTAATTCAATTTAGGGAGATCCCTCACCCATGATATTTGAGTGTAACCTAATTCTTCATCCCTACTCTTAATATTGTGTCTTCAGCAAGAATCCTGTGAAGTTTGTTTAGCAATATCCTCCTATCCAGGGCAGTGGCTCCTAGTGAAAAATTCCCATCCCTTGACTCTCCTAATTCTGTTTATTGACTGCATTCTCAGCTGTCTTTGCTGTATTAGGAGTCGAGTCCCATCTTTCCTTTTTATTTTAAAACTCTCGACACTTATTACAAAAATTCTGAAAAAAAAATCTTCTTTTAACCATTGTAACATATGTTTAAATTTTTTTTCTTGAACATTATAAAAATAAAAAAAAACAATGACCTAAATTCCAACAAAATATATTAGTGTGATTCTTTTTGCCTCCTTTATTAATACCTAACATCTGTTAATATTTATAATAATATTCCTCGAATTCTAGTGAAAGATAAATGCTCTAGTCAAAAATAACCCACTGTTAGAGAATTATAGAAAAACATTTTTTACCATAAATAGTATTATAATAAAGGCTCTAAGAATTTCACAGAAAATAAATCTGTTTAATTTTGTTCAACCCATATTGCCACAATATCAATACTTGATCATCTGGGTGGCACAGGGAAAACCTTGTAAATTCTGTAGGATGCTTAGCAATGCTTATGAGTCTATAAATGTGGGAGACAAATATTCATTTTACTGAAAGAAAAACTGTTCCAAACCAATAAAGAATGATCTAGTGCTAGGTATACAGCTCAGTTGGTAGAGTGCTTGCCTTGCATAAACAAGGCCTTGGGTTCAATCCTCAGCACCACAAGGAAAAAAAAAAAGAACCATTTATTTTTAGAATTATATCATATAATCAGAGATAAATGATAAATAACATCTTGAAACTGGTGATTTATAGTCTATCATCTTTAAAATGCATATTTCTTTCTCAGGCAAATATCAATCTATATCATTTTTAAACAATTGAAATTAGTATGTATAATGATCTTCACTATTCAAATCAATATTCAGAATCTACTGCAGCATCCTCTTTTTCAGACACAGAGGGAGAAGAAAAATAAAGAAGAAAGGACAGATTAATCTTAAGTGAAGTTGCAAATTTTAAGTAGTATAGAGTACAGAGACCAATGTTTAAATACATTATTGCCGCCATTAATTTGTAGTCATTTCTCATATCTAATAAAGCCACTGAGGTGTGGGTTCTTTGTTTTGGTACATAAGTCATCCTACCATTTGTACTTATCTCAGTCCTAAAGAGATCTGGTTCTGCTCTACAATTGAAGCAACATTAGAGAGTTAGAATATAGCGGCATATAGCCTTTTATTGTCATATTTCTAAATGTAGGAATAATGTATATTAGATTCTCTTCACAAACCTTAATCTTATGCATCATTGTATAAGTACAGTTATTCCCCAAAGAATCTAACCTGAGTGAATCAAGGTAATGCTCTCCTTGTTTATGTAAAATATTTCACAGTACTAAAATTCTAAATGAACTTTCCAGAATTTCAACAATTAACTACAGAGGAAAGTAAACAAACTTTCAAACAGGACACCTGTACTCTGTTAAAGCATAAAAGGGAAACAAAATAGGAAACAATGTTTGAAATCATATAAGAAATAAAATTGACCAAATTATGTGCATATACAAGTATGTCACAACAAATCCTACTATTTTATATAATCATATTGTATCATTAAAATAATAACTTAAAATTTTGAAAATTTAATGGAAAAAACCCAAAATGATCACATGGGATTTATGGAGGAGATCTCTTAAATTTAATGTGCCCATTCATTTGTTTGTTCAGTCTATATTTGGTTTTGTACAATTTGCTCAAGCTACTCATCAAATTGAGCATCTTTAGAGTCATTATGTATTATGTAAAAAAAAAAGCATACTTTCCCTTTTTATTACTTTACCCATTGGAGTCATTATGAGATCTAAATTCTGTGTGTTTTTTAAATTTCTTTTCTTTGTTGTTAGTTTGCCCATCTGGTCTTTGTTCCTCAGTTACTGGGGCAAAAGACAGAAAAATCTGTGTGTAAGAGACATAAATAAATATCTATAGTTGTAGGGCTGAGAATGTAGGTATCTTAGTTGTAGAGAACTTCCCTAGCATTCTCCTGACCCTGGATTTTATCCCCAGAACCAAAAAGGAAAATATATATATATTATATATGTGTGTGTATATATATGTGTATGTGTGTATATATATTTATATATATATATACACAAATATATATATATATATATATATATATATATATATATGTATATATTTGGATGATTAAGAAGTAGTATTAGAGAACATGTTTTTTTTCCTATTAACCTGTACCAATTATGGGAGACTTAAATGGGTTAACAGATCTGTCTGTACTTACACTCAACAGAGAGAGCACACCTCTAAGGTGGGGTATAAAATGCTTCTGAAAGAGACCTTTAAGAGCAATGTCCAGAGATAAGGGATGTAGAGAAATCTAAAGCTATGACTGTCAGAGGGAATGAAGACTATGATAGCATATAAGATGACCAGAAGAGATGGCAGCAGGAATAAATGCCTGCACTTCAAATAGTGCTTTAAGAAACCATCGTGCATTACTGATTTGTAACTAATATTATTTTATAAAATCATAAACATAACTATAATAAAATAAAAATAAATGAGAGTCTAAGTAGTTTTACCTTTTTAAATGAATGTGTTAATGCTAGTACATAAAATTTTTGTTTAAATAAAAAGAACTCTATCTTACATTACAGATTTAATTCAGCTTTTTACAAATTCTATATATCACAAAGATCTAGCCTATGAACTAAATGTAATATTGTTGGTAAAACTAAGGAAATTCTTGGTATCTTATTACTTTTGAGCATAAAACCATGTTTCTTTCCTCAGAATAAAAGCTTGAAAAACAAACTTTTGTCAGGAAGCAAGCTGTGTGGGATCCATGCAGAAGAGGTGAGTAAATTTTCTTCTAGCTTCAACTGGAGAAAAACAATATTCATGTCCAATATATTTTTTTTTTAATCTAGACAACCAGTATTTTTTTCCTAACACAAATCAAACTTTGGAATAGAATAATAAAATACATTTTAAACTTTTCTGTATCTTCAAATGTTTTAACATTTTACAGCTAAAGAAAAAACTAAAAGTTAGCTAAATGTTGTTTTCCATGGGGTGATATCCTAGATTCTTCCCTTAACTCTACTACCAGAACTTCCTTAATAGAAAATTCCTGGAAGTTAATCAATTTTCCTTTTATTTTTGTATTGTCTACGTGAGTTCTACAAAGTTTTGTAATGATAATTAATTGTCAGAATGAAGATGCTGGTAGTGATCATAAATCCATTCACTGGTTCTGTTTGCTGTGCAGCAAAATTGTCTCACTCATTTCTCAGGGAAGAAAATGTCATTCTGATTCATCCAGGCTTACCTAAAATAATTAACTTCTTTCACCTCTCACCTTCAGATCTTTCTATGATCCTATGTTTAATGTAGAAATGTAGTTCATATTAAATAATTTTAATGTGAGCAATAAAATAGTAGTGATAGTATTGGAAGTGGTCTTTTATTCCTCAAGGTGAGGAGAAGGAATTCATTGTGTTAGTTGTATCCTGCAAGAAGCACACACAGAAAGGAGTACTTGTAGCAGAGATTTATTCCATGAAAAGCCTTTAATTGATAAGGAACAGGTATGAGACACTTTTTCACATGACAAAGAAGACCTAATACCTGTGCAAGAGTTGGGAAGGAAGGGTCTTAGGAAGAATAAGAGCAAAGGTTTACACATGCATGTTGAAAATTCGACTCATTTTCCATTCTTGTGTAGAAATAAGGCAGAGAGCTCTTCACACAGATCTACCATCTTCTAAACATGGAACCATAGCTACCATTCCTGGACCCAAAACACCTTTCCAGTCATTTTCTTTCTGAGAGAGAGAAGGGGAAGATTTCAGGTGGAACATAAGCACTGCTCTTTGGTACTCTAAGGAGGAAATTGTCCATCATCATATACTCTTTTGTCCAGAACTAGGTCACATGCCTAGCCAAGTTGAAGGGATGCTGAAAAATGTTATTAGAGTGGTCACATGCCTAGTCAAAATTTGGATTTCTTTTCTCTCCAAGGTGAGAATATACCTTCACAAACAAATAAACAAAAAGTCTTTATCTACACACAAACATTTAAAATTACATTTACAATAGATTATGTAATAAAAAGAACATTATCAAAATCCTAAATATAGCAATTTCTCAATTATCTAAAGTTTATTCTTTTGATGACTTTAATTTTTCTAAATCTTCTTAACAATATAACCAATATGTCAATTGTCCTTAGTATTGATTTACATTACAAAAGAGATATGCTGAATCAAAATTGATTGTTTCATAATTCATCATCAAATGCTCAGAACAGATTTGCTTAATTAATTCACTAAATGTTAATTCATTAAATATTAGAAAATTGCTAGACAGAAGAGAGGAGAGACCATAAGAACAGCTTTTGAAAGTTATTTTTATAACAAAGCTCAAGAAATCACCCACGTTGTGGTTGCTAACTGAAGAAAAACACCATCTGAGTTTTGTTGTAGTTAATGAATGAATAATTACATAATACAATAATTGATGTTTTAATAATGATTAATTTTTTTTAAATATATATTGTCTTTATTCAGCATAAATGTTCATTAAAAATAGTAGCCCGAATGACATAATATGATTTTTTTCTGATACCTGAAAGAGCACCAACTTAGTAGAAGGCTAGAAAAGGAGTTGGGCACATCACCTACACAGGATGTAGTAACAAGCTCCCATTTCACATTGATACCTGTCAACACTAATTAGGAAAAAAGTATATTTTCGTAAGAGACTATCCAGCCTGGGTGTAAATGGGTTCTAGACACTAGACTGTGACAAAACGGGAAAAATGTCAATCAACTTTGCATTCAATTTGTGAAACCTAATAGAAATTATCTTTTACTGAAATGAGTAGCACAACATAACAGCCAGGAAATTAAGGATTATCTTAGAAAACTAATAAGAGACAGAGATGCTATGTCTAAAACATCATTATATTTGGACACTAGTGAAAATTGGGGGAGGGCAGAGTTGAAGCAATTGTTAATTTTGAAGTAAATTTATTAATTTAAAGGGCTGGTGGCTCAAGAAAAACTTTAAATTCAGAGTAAAATATTAGTAAATATAGACACATAATGACATCTTTTTATTTTCTTATGCCCCATGCACTTCAGTATTCCTATCATGAAAAAAAGAGTGAATTTTTATAGCAATGATAAAACATTAAAAACCTTATAAGAAATTACAAATTTCTGTTGTTTCCTTGTTTAGAGTTGTAGTACAGAGTTGTTAATATGTCAAACTCTTAAAACTCTTTTCTTTCTTCTTTCCTTCCTTCCTTCTCAGTCTTTCCTTTGTTTCTTCCTCTCTACCTCTCCCTGCCTGTATTATTCTAATTTTAGTATATGTTCTGAAGAAGCAAAAAATCAATTAGTATGTTTAATTATTATTATTTTTCTTCTTGTGACCATGATAAACGTGTGTGTGCGCATGTGCGTGTACGTGAATGTGTGCATGTGTGTATGTGTGTGTGTGTGTGTTTCTCCTGAATAAAATATCAGGACCCCAAATCTAAGGTATAAAAATACAGTAAACTGAGGTCCTTACATTAAAATGTTGGAAACTAAATCTCTTCTGCAAATTTGGGAAAGCATGCTCATCATCTATGTCTTAGAACATAATTTAGTGTTGTAGTCAAATATATCTTCTTCCTAAGTATATTACCTCCAGTAATATTTGCTTGATGCCTTCTCCATTAGAAAAGTGGAAAATTTAAACATGCTCTTCAATTTAAATTTAGTTATACTTGATATGTAAAAATAAGTCATTTTATATAAACCGTGACAACTGAGGCATGCACATACACAAATATATTTAACATCTAAAATTATATTTTCAGCAAAGCCTTGGTGACAGAAATTTTGTGTATTTGGTTAAAGAGTGGGGAAGAGCAATAAGTAAAATTCTTTAAGTAATATATTTTCTTAAAAATAAGACTTTTAAAAAATAGGCTCTGACTTTTCTCTTCCAATCTCAGATGTTGGAATGTTTGAGGCCCAAAGCAGAGTTTAAGTGTTCCTTTTTTATTTCCAAAGTAGTGGAGTTCTATTTTGCTTCAATACAAATTTACTCTTGTGCAGTCTGAAAAAAATGTGTATCTACAAGCTTGGAAACATAAGTGAATTTAGGTACTAATCTATGTTTCTGCTTTTACAGTCAAAAAAGATCCAAGCCCAGCTAAAGGAACTTCGTTATGGGAAGAAGGATTTGTTATTTAAGGTGAGCATCTTTCTCTCTCCTCCAAGTTCCTAGCTCAATATCTAAACTTTCAAAACCGTTATTTAACTTAAACTTTATTTCTGTACTTGGTCAAGAACTAGAGTTGCAAGCTAAAGCACTGAAGATACTTCAATGTTCTTGCCCACTTAATGTAGATAAATATAATTTCCTATGTACATTTCTTATTAAATGAAGATGTTGTTACAAAGTATTTCCTTTTCAATCCCAGTTACTTTAATTCAATATGGGGAAATATTGTTTTTGCAAAATTGCTGTGAGCTAGAGCACACATTAAGCAAAATCCAAAGAAGTTTTCCAGTGACCTAGACTCTTGACTTTCAGAAGTTCCTAAAGATACTAAGAGTCCTCATATTTCATTATGATTGCTTGGTTTTGGACTGATACTCTCATTACAAAACTACCTGGTCAAATCCTATGAATAACTAGGAATCTGACACAACCTATATATATATAGTGGACTGGATAATGGTCTCACAGAGATATTCCAATCTTAATTCCCAGAATTGGTGAGTATTATCTTTCAGGCAAAAGACATTTTGTAGGCGTGACTAGGTTAAATTTCTTTTATATACAAAACTCAAATATTTGTTTTTAGTTGTTGATGGACCTTTATTTTATTTTGTACTTAAATATAAACATATTTGTTTATATGTGGTGCTGAGAATGGAATCCAATGCCTCACACATGCCAGGTAAGTACTCTATCATAGAGCCACAACCCCAGCCTCAAGTTAAGATTCTTGAGATGAAAAATTATCTTTATTATCTAGTTAAGCAGTAATTTAACTGTATGAGTTCTTATAAGAATGAGGCAAGAAAGGTAAAGAAAACATTTGTTCACAAAAGCAGTAGAAGTGAAGATAAGGAAAAAGAGTCTCTCTAGCCTCCAGAAAGAAGCTACCATGCTAACACTGGACTTTTATTCCAAAAACTTCATTTCAGACTCCTGATCTTGAAACTTATAGGACAACAAATTTGCATTATTTTAAGCCACTAAGTTTGTGGTAATGTGTTATAGCAGCAAAGAAAAATGAATACAAATAGTTTCCTGTTCCCCTTTGAGCAGGGGTGACGGAAGTCAGATATTTTAAATATGCATTTGCACATCTGCCTTGCCAAATGAAAGGGAGTAATATAGCATTAGGCTTTTATGAGTAATAATGATAATTCATTATTACAATAAGTATAAATTAACTTATATGCAATATATTTTAAGCAAATTTTCACAATAATCATCTCAAACTAGAAAAGTTAGGTTTAAAATAAAAAGGAATAACTCGCTATTTTATTTAATAATTGAAAAAGTTAGCAATTTCTTTAATGAGAACAATGAGAAATGACTCATCTTTCTACTTTGGTATCTTTATTCTTGGCTCTGGATTTATAGAAATACTTTCTTCTTATGCCAAGCAATGTTTATTAAATACTTATCCCATGCAAACATAAATCTGGGCACAGATTGCCACTTCTTTGGCTTTATTTAGAGCAAGGTATTTCCTTGTACTCCAAGGAAATTGTTAATTAATTCCATTCATACTTAGTAACCTCACCTCCCAGCACCCTATTTGATAAAAAGATAGGATGAACTTGAAAGCCAGAGTATTTGCTTTCTCCCTTTAATTTTTCATGCTGAGACTGTGGAGCTCAGGTTAACTTAACTCTTCCATTCAGCCTGGACTTAGCTTTTTCGCTCAATTAAAAAAAAAAAACAGTTGAAATTTACAACAAAATTGTGTGTGTGTGTGTGTGTGTGTGTTGTCATCATTTCCAAAGAAATATAAAATTCTCTGTGAGTTAGTTTAACTGCACAAAGTTAGAAGTGTTTTAAAACAAATCTAGTTTCCTTAGCACTCATGAGCTGTAGGTGTTAGGCTGAGAGACTTTTGCAAAAATAATAGATCATATGAGGATTTTGAATCTTTTGAATTATATTTCTTAAAATAAGAGTTTTGGAAGAGTTGGGAGAAGAGAATAAGAATATCCTATAATGTTCTGTGATTTTCTTTTTTGTTATAAGCCAGTTGAAAGTAGTTCGTAATTTGTCAACTTTCAGAAGTTACTCAAATCAAAGTTTGCTGAAAAAACTATGTGAAAACTGAAACATGATTTGTAATCTTTGTTATTTTGTGCCACTTTAGGAGCAATGCAAATATACAAAATTGGGAGAACTGTGTGTTATTGGAAAACAAAGCTGTTAACCTGCTCAAAAGCTATTTCATGGCAGGATTTTTGAAAAGTCTAATAAAAAGTCTGAAAGCATGACAAATTTATAGTTTTCTCAGTAACTTAACAATGACAAGAAGACTGCAGTTTGTCTTTATTCCACCTTTTCATATCACCACCCTCAACTTGATTTGCTCTAAGCTCTGCTTCCTCATTGTTTCACGATGGTTGCTGGCGATGTGTAAGAGGTATCCTCATCCAAATGTGCTGAGAGGAGAAAAGGGAGGTGCATGTCTTTCAAGGTTATTATTTTCATAAAGAAGATGAATTTAAGAGAGATCTCCACACACTTGATATATGCAAAATAAAACCTTAATATTTTCAGATTATGTTATGAAAATATGTTTCTTTTTGGCATAAAATGAAAGGAAGGGAATTGTTGATCAGGAGGCAATGCACAGCTTCTGCAGGAAGCAACCTACTAGCTTCTGCTGTAATGAGCATTACACATCCACTTATCATGAGGACAGCAAACTTATCTGATTTGCTTAATGCAATATCAATTAGTTTATTAACTATTGAATAAAAACACTAAATAATAAACAAGTCAGGGAATTAGATCACAGAAACTCATGTATGTGGCACTAAGCAGTAGGTTCCCAAAGAAATTCACTCATGTACCTTTGAAAATGAGCTTACAAATTTTCTTTGATGATACTTTGCTTATATCTGAGATGATAACTTGAAGATTCTATTTCAAGTGATTTCCCCATAGATTCTGTTCAATTTTGGATTGAATTGATGTTTTTTGATAAATGCAGAGACTGAAGGAGCAGCACTTGCTGATGGAGCTTAGAAATTTAATGCTAAAAACAATGGTATGTACTGACAATTCCAAGGCACCATGATAAATTCAGTGTCCTTATTAAAGCCTGGAAACTGTCTTTGGCTTTGGGAAGTCGGCCAGCTACAGAAAGTACTCTCTACTGAAGAAGGAGGTGACAACTCACTCATTGCTAATACTTGAGTTACCTTGAATCCTTCATCATAACATTTGCAGAAGACATTTCTATAATATCTATGCTCCGTTTCTCCATTTGCTGGTCATATATATATATATATATATATATATATATATATATATATATATATATATTAGATATTAAGTATTATAGATATTTACTTTCAAGAGGGTTATTTGCTCATTGAAGAGAAGTTTCAAAATATAATGCTATAAGCAAATACTTCAAATACCATCACTAACAACATGCACAAATAATATTTTGACATATGTCATATTTTTATCTAGTTTTTTGTAAAATGCATAATTAGAACCATGTGATACACATATAAAATTATAATTAAAACATGTATTTTAAAACATAAAGAGATCTTTTCATTTTAAATGCATAATCTTCTATAAGAATATGCCAAAGTGAACTAACCATTCCCTTAAATGTGCATGAATGTGTATATGTGTATACATATGTATATGAGTGATAAGATTTTAATTTACATTGTGATAACAATGCCTTCTTCTTTTAATTTTGTCATTTTTAATAAGAACCTTATTATTTGTAATAAAAAGATTAATCAATAACTTATACTGGTTACTTTTAAGAAAATGAAAACAATTTATATTTTCATCAGTTCATTTTTATCAGTTCAATAAGATGAAGTTGAGTTTAAGACTTATTTTTTCACTGGGCATTCTCTTTAATGAAACACAACCAAATAAGTAGGTATGTATGTAATTATAAAAATTAACAAATACAATACAGCAATTACAAACTGTCATTTTGAGAGATTATAAAATGAATGTTATCGTTTTAGTTTATTATACAATTCATAATTCTGCAGTTGAATATACACTTTAGAATTTTAGTGACTTGATATCTGTTTCTAATTTTTATGTAACTTATTTTTGGTAAAATTGAGTCAATTTTCACAAATTTTTGGTCACAAAAATTTAAACTATCAACTACTATGTTGAATAAAGGCATAATAAACTAATATTTATGACAACATATTCAAAAGGAGAAATGTTCGAACATATTTGGAAATTAACTCTGAACTTCATTTCATCTTCCATAAGCTTATAATTAATTACAGCCTGACTGAGAAGGTCTTCGAACATAAATTTTGGACATGATTTTCATTTTATGAGGACTGACGTTTTTACACAATTGCCAAGTGTTTGGTGCAACATGTCAGACTGCTCCCATTTGGGCTTTTAAAATAAGAAGTGTAATATCAATATCAATCAACCTTCACTTAATGTTACATTTATATATATGATAATTATGTTACATTTGTTTATTTACATATATTTACATATACATATATATTTATATATATATACATTTCTGTATACATTTATTATGTATTACACATTCGTAAACAAAATTAGAAGTGCAATATCACTTCATTTAATATTACATTTATATATTTTGTATTACATTTATATATTGTTTATACATACATTTATTGTACATACATATATATTTGTATTATTCATTATAAATATAATAAATGATATGTAGGTGTTAAACATGCCCAAATTACATGATTTCAAAAATCCCCAAAGTTTTATTTGTCTCATCTACATGTATAATCTCAAATCAATAGAACTAGAAAATTTCTGATATTATAAAAAGCTGACATATATTAAGCAATACCTATGCATTTCCTATTTGCTATGTGCTTTATATGCATTATCCCATTTGCTCCTCCAGACAACTTAGAAATATCTGAGATATGGGATATGTGTTTGTGTGTACATATTCATAAACATGTATACATAATGTGTGTTTCTGT